CAACGGCACTTGCCACGGTTATTCAATAAGATTTTTAAGGGTGGAATTTCAAATAAACAAAGTTTTACTGAAATCCCTATGCCATTTAACGTTGACCTCTTCTGATCACTTGGAAGAATAAATATCATCGATCTCAAAGATAAAGAGTGCTATGGCACTTTACGTAATTTTACAGAAGAGCAGTTAAAGATGTTTCGGTAGTCTGAATGAAAATGGACATGTTTTGATTTTTCTAACTTTGACAGGGTCATAACTCACAATACCTCCATTAATGAAATTGGAAGAAGGTTATTTAATCATGCCATTTTATATAAAAGGGGCCTTTACCTTCAGAGAGAAGATCTAATACACAGCCCTTTAATGCTCACGATTCATCGAAAGCTTCACTGCTCATTGTGCGCTCTACATGGTACAAAATTCGTAGAAGACAAGATTTGTAGATCCACGAAACACTACACAGAACCTACACTAATTGTAAATTGCATAATAAAAGCACGTGCAAACAACTGACACTAGATTACCCATGATATTGAATACAACGATAAGTACAACAAAAATAAAACACACACACACACAAACACACTGCTTCAATTTTCTAGAAATTTATAACCTTCAAGTTCAAAGGCATTCGACATGAAAGTTTATTTTCAGTAGAGAGAAAGAGCAATGTGTAAATGATTTGTAATAATAATAATAATAATAATAATAATAATAATAACAACAACAATTTTCCCCGGAAACATGTTCTCGGCAGACCGACTCCGCACTGCGGGGGCGCGGACTGCGAGGCGAGCGCGTGCGGGTGCAGAGGGCCGCCGTGTGGGCACCGCGTCGAGGGCGAGGGCGAGTGCAAGGACGCGGGGGCGGGAACGCGAGCGGAGGTGAGGAGAGAAGAAAATAAATCCGGCGAGGCGCATCGCGAAGCGACCCTTTCATCGACCGTCGCGCCGCCCCGCGCGGTGCGGTGCGGTGCGGTGCGGTGCGGTGCGGAGCGCGCGGGCTCCCACGGCCGCTTACGCCGCGCGGGCGAGGCGCAGCGCCCGTCCTCGATGACCCCGCCCCGCCCCGCCCCAGCAGCGGCAGCGGCAGCGCGCCAAAGAAACCTTTATGCGAGCATCGCGCTCTTCGCTTTCCCCGGGCGCTTCCGGGCGCGACGCGCCCGCTGGACCGACGCAGATAAAACGCGGCGCGAACGGGATTGGAAAGGGCTTTGTACATGTGTTGCCAGTCCATTTCTTCTACCTCGCATTTTTTTTGTCCACCGGGATTGAGTCTACTCCTATTCCTTTGGTTTATTGTCAACTTGTCTTTACGCCAAATCTCTACTCGTTGTGCACCCAGCAACAATGAATATATGTGATACATTACAATTTTCAATCACTTACTCTACCATATTTTTGTGTTATTACGCAACTTCAATATACAACTTGCTTTTTATAAAAAAAATCAGATTGGTTCATAATTTCTTCAAATTTGTCTCTTCAATCTTAGAACGAAACCCACATTTAAAAACAAAGAACGAAAAAAAATTGTGACTGATGGCAACATTGTTTCTTGTTGGAATATTCTGCCTTCAAAAATGAGTCGGATAATCCGCAAATGAGATATCAATACGAACCTTTTGCGGTCGACTTTCATTCTCCGATCTCCATGGCAACGAACTCAAATAATTCCACATATACGAGTAAAGAGCACATTTCGCGGCATGGAGTTCCAAAAATTCATATCCCAAAGCCCTTCACTGATAAATGTGGGATTTGACTGAAAATAGAATGATTCTAAATCACAAACCCTTAATTTTCTTTGTGAATTTTCAAATAAATGTGAGTAGCATTTTCGATTTTATTCTTTCACGTTTTCTTAACTCTTTTTTGCCCGGTTCAGCAAGGCCCACGGATAAACGTGCATGTTAAAATAAAGGAGGTTGAGCGTGCTGTGCTGAGCCGGGAAGAAGCAGATTTACAGAAAAATTGCGGGACAATGTTTGTGATCATTTTCGATATGTTGGTCTTTTTGGAAACATTCTCCACTATTTTGTCCCAAAAAGTGTAAAAAGCAAGTTAAATTCATGATCCAAAACAGCCATAAGTTGTTTCACAACAAATCAGAACTCAAGCAAAAAACTAATTCAGAGCGAATGAATGAATTGACTCCAGATATCTAGACTCCGCTGAGATCTTTGGTTCTCAGCGGAATGAAGGTTAAAGATAAGATAGGGTAGAGAATGATTGATGGGCCGTACCGGTGCAATGCATATTGGCAGGAGAAATGGGAATCCCCTAGAAAACTAGCTGCGAACTTGCATTGCACACCACAAATTCCAGTTGGAATCGCCTGGCATCGATCTTGGGCAACAACAGTGCAAAGCGAGGTGTCTGATACCCTAGAAGAAATAATTCTATATGTTGTTGAAGTTGGAATAGCAACCTTTTCTGAAATCATGGCGGGGTCTAATAAATTGACTAATACAGCTCATAGAATTGCGAGCATTATGTATATATAATAACTTAATACAATTCATAGGAAGGTACAGGTTCTGCAGCCGATGCAGTTCAGGTGCCCTGACGACTGCGGTGTACGAGAGGCGTCTCCCGACATCAGTGCACAGATAGGGGAGCTCAAATGATTGGCACGTCGCGCACGGGTAACTGAAACGCATGCTGAAATAAACATCCGAGCATACAGTACAACATCGAACTCCGAACAATAACTATTTAATTTCTCCTACGAAATACCACGCAACCTCCATAGTAACTGTGATGTAAGCATCAGCGGTAAAATCATGATACTCATTAAACCAATCAAGACGCAATGGAATAATGAAAAAATAATTGTTGGAAGCACCGAAGTCGTCTTCAAAAATCTGATATGGGATATAAATCAACACACCGACATGGGAGGATTTCAAATCATTTAGAAAGGGGTAGTGCCTAAGGCAAAAGTCATGTTGATATTTGAGAGATTTGTCTGAAATAAAATAAACCTGTTTTACAACTTACTTGTTCGTTTTTCATTGTTTTCGATACTTATTTATTACCAAGTTGTAAGTTTTATGTTTGTCATTCCAATAACAAATTAATATTGTAAACAGTAACGTAAGCATTTATATATTCTAACAGAAAAATATTTTCATTTTCTTTGTATTTTTTCCCTAGAGTTCGAACATTTACATTTCGTAGTAATCGTTGGTTTCTATAGCCAAATCTAGACGATCGTTACTGTCCGAACGTACACTGTTAAAACATTTATATAAGTCAATAGCAATAGGTATGCGCCCCAAACTAGTAAAAACAGTTGTCTATCCAGAAACTTCGGTCAGGCGAGCTAAAATATACGTTTGGAAACGAATCTCTCAAAACTTGAAAATTAACCAGGAATTTTGCAATGTAAGCAAAATTTGTCATGACAAAGGAAACTCTTTTAAAACACCAGGGGGAATATCCTCTTTTATATCCTCTGCGCCATTCTCACGCCCGCCGTTTCTCCCGGCTTCATCTTCTCTAACCTCCATCCTCTTTTCTTCACAGCTCGCGAACCCGCATATTTCAATGTAAGGGATTTTTTGAGCGCATTTTAGCCTATTACACGGCGCAGTGAATTACAGATGCAATAAACGCACGCGCATAAAGCCAAATAAGCTTTCCTCCCTTGTAATACTGTTTTCGTGTGCTACTGCTTCAAATTAAAGTTTCCTAACAAAGGCCACTTCATGTGTAAAATGGAACCACAAATTACAGTCTTTTATTCTGCTGAGAGATAAATTAAAAATAATTTATTTTCTACCACTTTTAAAGAGGAACCTGTATATACATAAAATGTCCACAGCTAAGTATTTCGGGTATTATTGTGAGAATAGCGAGAAAGAACACAGGCCAGCCAGGGGAATGTATCATGCAATTCAACTGAATCGTCTCCCAACCTAGTAAATTTTACCTCTCTCTAAAGCAGGATTTTGGATAAAAGGGGGCAACTTTGTACAGAAATTTCCAACTTCTTTTCGCAGTCCCTCTCAGGAAAGTTAGATAAATGAAGAGACTCCTGCAGCGCCGCCTTGAATACGAAGTTCCGAGAATTACGGGTAATTTTAAATCGCGCCAGAGTACTCTCCCGAATTAAACGGCTGACCCGCCATATTTATAAGCTGCAGGTTAAATTCAAGTGCGAGAAGTATTCGCCGGAGGGGCCCTCGGGCGGGCCGCCCAGGCACAAAAGCCCTTCGGACGGCGCCGCTAGGGCGGCGCTCGGCCGAGGGCGGCGCGAGCAGTCACAGTTCGACCTCTCGAACGTCGGCCCAAAGTAACGTCGTCTCGTTTGCCGGCACAGCTCTCCACCTGGCTGCGGAGGAAAAGAGAGGCAGGGAGGAGAGATGAGGATGCCGCCGCTGTAGAGGGTGGGAGGGTGAGCGGGGGGGGGGCGCTTGGTAGAGCGCGCCGCCCTCCCGAAAGACGAGTTGTCGAGCACAGCGGCGCCTCGTTGCGTTTTACGTCTCTTCATTCTCGTGTTCTGTAAACTCCAAAGATAGAGGATTTGGGAGTTATTAATTAAGGTGCAGGGTAAACAGGATTATAAGGGATGCAGGCTCATTCATGCACACTCATTCAGCCGTTGTTCATTCAATTAAAAAACAAACAAGTAATTTGCAAACTACACATTTTCTATTGATCCGTTTCTCAAACTATTATTAGACAGCAGGGAGAGTAAAAAATAATTAATTTTCAACGCAGTTTTTGATATATTATGCGCCAAATATGTACGATATCTATTCGTACAAAACTTTCAGAAACTGATTAAAAATGTATACAAACTATTTACTGAAAGTTAACTTTTATAAAGAAAGTAGCAAGGGTGATTCTTAAGTGAAATAATTAGTCTACATTCGTTTTCTTGCGGATATTTGTAAAATCATTTGAAAAGGTAAGTTCTCACCAGCACACAGCATCCACTCAATCATTATCTATTTATTCTGAGACCACCGACGTAGAAATCAGCTTCCGACTCACCTCTCCATGGCAATTATCTGCTGCTTTTGGTGCTGGTAGTGGTACATCTGCGCTGACTGGGCCAGCCGCCTGTCGCCGGTGGGCGACACGTCCTTGTTGGGGCCCGTCACGCCGTACGCCGGATACTCCACGTCCGCCGCCGCCTTAGCGCTCTTCTGGAGCCTGCAAGCAGAGAACGGTATGTCGGCGTTAGCGCGAGGAAGTGGACCTCAAAGGTTACATCGTACGGGAAGATCGTCTGCCCTCGCGACGAGAAAAAAATGGACGACGGGCGTTAAGCTAACTAACGTCTTTTAAACTGTCATCAGGGTGATATTGACGAGAAACGAAGCGAAGAAATTAGAATAATACGCTATTAAACTGTAAGGTGCACCTATTATTCAACATGGTTTACCAGAATATTCATGTTAAAAATAAAACACAACCCCTGACTTTTTAAGAATAAAACTGTAGGTGTCCAAAGGTAAGAAAAAATCTACATGTCTCTGGTTTTCTTTCCTCTCGGAAACTTTAAGTAACAAAAGTAAAAAAATATAGACTTTTCTTTTTTGAAAGACCGCATAAACAATAAACTTCTGGATATTACCGGCGCGATTTCAATGAGAAAATACCTAACTGAATAAACGAGATAAACTTCAGAAAGCTAGCAATTCAAGAATGAAGTTCTTTCAGACTCAATCATAAGAGTTCAGAGAAATATCAATATCACTACCGCTCTGATTTTACGTTTTTTCGCATAGATTGATGTCGCGATTTTCAAGCACACGCACGCATGACGGGCCCTCAATTCGCCCAACAACAATCGCATACTACGCGCTCGTTGCTCAACAGCCTGCTGTTTGCGAAAAAAAAAGCTATTACTCTGCTACGGAGTACATACTGACAAAGCCATTCCGACCGGAACGATTGCATTAAATCTACTCAATCGGCATTTTATTTTGAAGCTACAGAGCAATTAACGGAGGAAAGTCGTTAGCCCGCACTGTAGCCCCGCCGCATGCGCAAATACGTCACTGGGAACGAGCGATCGACCCGCAATGAGTATCCTCGACAGGTAGGGCGCCCCGGCATAACGAACCGACGCCGACCGCAAATTCATTTGCTCTTGTGCCGCGCGCCCGCCGGGCCGCTCGCTGCCATCAAGAGAATTCCGGAGTCCCCTCACACACGCAAGCGTTCCTCTGCGCGCCCTGATTAGCGCGAGGGCGGGGAGCCGGCAGGGGCGCGCCCGCCGCTGCGAGGGGTGCGGCGCTGCGCGTCCGCTTCGCTGGAGACACTGTCCGTACGTAGGCAGTTGATCGCACGTGCCGGCGCTACGCGAGGGGAAGGGCGGGGAAGGTGGGGCACGAGCCAATTAGTTCCCGGCCTGCCGCAAGCGATGCGACGGCGGCGCGGCGAGGCGAGGCGAGGCGCGTGGCCTGTTGAATGGCGCCGATGGCGTCTTTACAGCACTCGCCGCCTGCAAACTTCCCTCGTCCGCCTCCTTATAATAATGGGCCACCGGCTTTAATAATGCACGCAAACGCGCACGTTATCTCTAGGGTGCTCGGCCTGCGACAGAATGCATTCGAGAATCGTCAATGTCATAATTTCGACAAGGCTTAACATGAAGAGAACGTGTTAATTAAATAGATTCCGATACTCTCAACAGTCACTTTTTATAGTATTCGTTGGTTCCAGTCATATTTCAGTCTACGATTTTCTAAAACGATACAAGAGTGCTATGTAGTACTTCCTTTTTTATCATATATTTTTTCATTCCTAAAGACTGAGTCTTGGTCAATATCTTAATGCAACTTTTTGTTTTCCGTCTATCTACAGTCCCTAGTACAACATTGGTGGTGTCGGAAATTTCCTTGCTTTGTAACAAACATCAGCTCAACATCGTGTATGATTGGAGAAGTCTAAGTAAAATGAAAATGAAAATAGGTTGGCTTTAAGAGTTTAATATATCATTAAGCGTCTTCCATCCTCAAACGCCTCTTCCAACTTGTTCCCAAATCCTTTACATGGCTTGCTCAACTTGCAAAGAAAGAATTATTTCAACATTTGTATGTCCCCAATTCAATTCCAGTTTCTTACGAACGTATCTCCAAAACGACTCTTGAACGCTTACAGGACACGCTAGTTATTCTGTTTTCCACGCCATCGCCGTTCATAACTCTCCTGCACATTTCAGAAGCGTCCATTCATGCTCCCTCTACGACCTCTGATCCCTTTCACGCCCACGTTTCCTCTACAAGCGCCCTTCTCTTTCAGTCGCTCGTGCCGTAGAGTGCCCGGCGCGGCCGGTCGCTTACGGCGCTGGCGGCGGCAGCGGACGCTCCCGTCTCTAAATGTTTCCGGCGGCGTCGCAATCCGCTTACGACTGCTCCGCCCCCGCCCCCGCCCCGCTTCTGTGCCCCTGCAGAGTGATCTCTTTGCCGGTCGTGGCGGACAGCGCGCCAATGGGAGCCGACAAATGGCGCGGGAAATGCCAGGGAATGGGATCCAAACAAACTGCGCAGGTAGCTCGCGGTTCGCGATATTATGTCGCCACTTGTTCTCTTCTATGGCAATGCCAGGCGACCGCCAAGGCCGGCGCCGCAGCCAGAGCGCTTCTGAAACCGACTTACGAAAAACGAATACACAGCAACTGCAGGTGAATGAAATGCTGAAGAATGCACGGGGGAAAACGTGCATCCTTAGTACTGTTATCGAATTAAACAAAAGAGAAGAGATAAACAATAAATTATGTGAGAACGTAGGCTTCCGCGGCCGTATGCATAACGCCCTGAGAAAGGTTGCAGAATGGTGACCGAAACGTCGGCACCTTCGCCATGGACGCAGCGTCACCCGAACACCCTAGTAAATACAATAAATTATGATTTTCTCAAAAGTGTAATACACGTAAACAAATAATTGTGTATATGTGTTCATGCTGTAACACACGTCATATTTTAACTTACGTATATCTTACATATCCTTGTATTAAGATTACGTGAATTGCAGTAATATTTTAAATAAATCGTTAGTAAACTATTCATACTATCACAATAAAAATATAGGTGAATGATCAAAGTGTTAGATGTTACAAGGGTTCAAAAAACTGTTAGCAATATAATATCATAATTTTACATGATCTATTTTAATAAATATTTATCTAAATACACTTAGGTGCTCGTTGAAAAATTAATCTTGTCTCGTGTTCCCTAATTGTTGCATTTATGAATTTAAACTTTATTTACTTTGCTGAAAATCCCACGCATAACATTTTAGAATTAAAGGTGATACAATACTTGACTGGGATACTATGTTTTCATGATTCAATCCCATGCATTGCAATTACCCAAATATAGTTACCCACGTAACTTCGTTTAGATAAACCCATTATAGGAATTCATAATGCAATTCGCATTCATACTAATTGGTGCGTAATTTAGTTAATTAAATGAAAACAAGGGACGCGAACGTGGAAAGGTGAGAAAATACAAATGTAAATTTCATAAAAAAAACTTCGTGTCAAATAACAATGTTTATATTAAGTAATTACTCCGGAAAAATTAATTATTTTAATTAAATTAATGTTATCAAGTACTATGAAAATAATTTCCCAAAATTGCAATGGAAATCGGTTGTAAGGCCTTTCGCTGCAGGTGTGTTGTGCTACCAGCCGTGATTACAGGCAATTACAAATGCTTCCAATACAGGATGCAAATATATTGAGTCCGCAGGGAAGCTAAGTTTTCTGAAGGAGCGTGATGGTGAGCGAGGTTTCAAAAACAGGGACCAAGTGCGATGATTTATGATAAAAGTTGAAATAGAGCATGAAGTTGATACAACAAAGACTCTGGGCTGCCTGTTCCGTTATCAACGCTAGAGGATTGTTTGATACAAAACATGGAAATTTATAAAGTCATTACGCCACCCCGTCTCAACTCTACATGCTTCGGATACGTTAAACAAAAATTACTTACTGAGTACTTCTCCCCTTCCGAGATCACTTTCTCATAAGATGTTGTTCTGTTTCTACAATCTGCCTCCTTGTCAGCGTGAACAACGGCTTTGGAGCCCCCTCGCAAACGTACAAAAGATAAAGATACCATTTCACAGCGCCCACTCCGTACGGAATCCCAATTCATATAGTGTAGAGAAGCAATATTTATCTTGCTTTCATGTGTGAGAAAAATATCTATTACTTCTCTTACGCAACACTCTTGTACGCGGGTGCATTAAAAGGTGCTCATTGTATTTTTTCCAAAATAAACACTGCTGATGACTTTACAAAAAGTGCATCTCCTAAAATAAAAACAAAAATAGAAAAACGAAAATAAGCAGATTCTTGGAATACATTTTTTGATACACAATTTCTACGGAATCAAAGTGAGATTTACAAAATGCTTATTTACAATGTCAGGACGAGACCGATATATATCAAATAGCTTCATACACTCTTAAGTCCCTAGCGATGTGACGTCAAAAAAGTGTTGACAGCGTCACCATCCACTCGTTTTCACGACATATCCGCGATTACGCAATTAGTGTGTGTGAATATGTCCACTACACCTGAAGCCACCAGCCCACAATATATTGTATATTATTCCTCTCTTCGGGTAAGCCGGTTATCTTTCTCCTTGAATATCTTCGGTTGCAGGCAGATTCAAAGTACTTCCAGTTCGACGAAGTTTGACACTCCAGAATCTTTACGCCCACAGTTATTATCCTCTTAGTAACAAGACGCAAAGAAAAGGTGAGATATCTTCGCTCGAGCGAGGTCAGAGAGGCCGTCCGCGCAAGCCAATCTCAAACGGGAAGTGGCCTCGGGGCGGCCGTAGCCTTCCTAATCAGCCCCCCGCAAAACGACAGGTGCGGGGGATCCTCGGGGAGCGCGGCCGACCGCACGATTCCGCGCAGCGAGAGCCAGGCGCGGGCGAGGGCGAGGGCAGGGGCGAGGGCGAGGGCAAAGGCGAGGGCGCGGGCGGGGGGCGCCAGCCCGAACGCAGGAAGGTAGGTCGGGCATTGGCGGCGCGCGTGGGCGGGGCAAAGCCGCAGGGGCGGGACGCGGACGCAGGGACGCGCCGAGGCCAGGTCTAACGAGGCGCTCTTATCTGCTAAGTTCGAGCGCTCGCTCCTCCCGCGAGGGCCTCTGGGGGATGCTGCGGCCTGTATCAGCGCTCGGGGGT